GCTCGCTGCCGCCGGGGAGCCCAGGAGCAGAGCCGCGTGCTCGCCTGCTCCTACCCAGCGCTGCTGCGCGCAGTGCGGTTCCTAACACAACACACACGCAAAGCACCGTGCAGAGAGGCGCGCGGCGCGGGAAGGCGCACCGAGCTCGCGCAGCTCCACCTGCAGCCCGGCCCGGCCCCGGCCGCGCTCGCCCCGCGCACCCGCCGGCAGCAGCGCCCGGGCGCGGGGCCCGTCCCGGCCGCCCCTCGCTGCACCCGGCGTGCGGGCCGCCACAGCAGCCCTGGGCAGGGCGGGAAGGGCTGCCCTCGTTCCGGCAGGGAATCCAGGCTCAGGAAGGGCAGCGCTGGCTCCTAAGAACGGAGGACAGCAGAGTCTATGGCCGTCCTCACCTGCTGTGAACAGGGGAAACATAAAGATGAGTAAGAAAGCGGAGCTGAAGCCCAAAGTGCAGCTTCGGGACCAAATTTACAGTACAAGCTGCTGAACACCATGCCAGGTTGTGAGCACATGGTCTGCACTAGTTCTACTAAGAAGCATGGAAGATGAAAGTTGAAAACAGCAAAGCAAAAGGACACTTTTTAAGGAAGGAACTCTAACCTTTATTCACAAACGAACCATTTCCAGCAGCGAGCGCGGCCGGCATCGAGCCAGGTGTAAGTGTGGGCCAGAGCTGGGCGGCTGTGACGCACCCTGCGACAGGGCAGCACGTGCCTGGCCGTGCCCGTGCCACACACGGGCACCCTGGCTGCCTTCCTTGGCCAGGAGAGGACTTGAAAGCTGCACCCCTCCCTGCACAGCAGCCTCACACGCACACACAAATAAACTGGGATCTCCCGTTTCTTCCCCAAATCAACTTAGCAACTCAAACCAAGTTTCCTTGTAGGGGCTTCCCACCTAAACCAGGCTAGGTAACAATATGAAAAATAAACAAACAAAATATCCCAAAGCCATATTCTGAAAAGATAGACCAAGGTTGAACATCACTCGGTAGAAATTACTTGGCCACGTCACTCCAAAGCACACAGCAGAAATGCCAAGTGAAAATGGATACGAGAGCACCCTGCTCCCAAGCATCTGCTGCTGTTTTAACACTGCGGTTAGATAACAAAGTCCCCAAGTACAGGCAACACTAAAGCTTGGTGCTTCCAGAACAAAACCTCCTTTGACTCCTTCCTCTGCCTTGCATTAAAGAATACATGAAATTCCTACAAACTGATCAAGATGAAATTATTTCTGAAGAACTTAAAAGTGTTGGCAATTTATGAAATGTGTACCACTTTGAACCATCCTACCAGCTACCCTAATGCTTCAAACTAAGAGGCACGTAAGAATTACAGGGGCTGTGTGTTTCAGTGATAACCAGGCACAGAAGCGTGCTTCCAGCTTACACTGAAACGTACTCCTTGAATCATACTACTCAGAAGCCTTTTGTGGAATGCTTGACAACTGCAGGTGGAGAACAAAATACTGGGAAGCACCGTTTAAGATCTGCATATACAGAAAAACATCCCAAAATACATCTAAATTGATCTTCAAGTTATTTTGTCTTGGATAAGACAGCAAATCATGCAATGCTGCCCCATTTTCATGAAGCTCTGCTGAAATAAAACAAGCAAGAAGCACATTATGATCCCGGGACAAGCCAGCATATAGGATGGACAAAAATCTTCCAAGTGAGACGTTCAATTCTTCACTATCAGAAAACTGCCTTAAAAAGACAAACAAAGAAAAGTATGTAAATTTAGCATGCAAAAACCCAAACTGACAGCAAAGGAATATAAATTTAGTGGCACTAGAAGCTATGACAATTTTGCTATAGAGTTTAGAGATAAAGTCTGCATGTAGAAGCAGCTTCCTAGCTTCAAGGACCACACAAAAAAGTGATCAGAAGGAAGACAATCTTTGTGTATTAATATATAAAACCTTCTGTCTCAGTTTTATAAACTCCAGTCCTAAAACTACTTGATTTGTGGGATCATTAAGAATGCCTGATGCATATCATTCAAATAACACCTGCCAGCAGACACTGTACAGCTTCAGAAAGTCTGAAGCTACACACAAACCACAGTTTCTACCAAGTAACTTGGACGAGAAATCATCTTAAGAGTATTTTACTTACATGTTCATAGCATTTCCGTTACTCACTAATGACTTGGCTGTTGAACAGTTGCCTCGTTATGAAAATAAAAATTGTTCTAGACAATCTCTCTTTAGCAAAGCAGTAAACCAAAAACACTACTATAGAAGTAATTATGATTGTAAAGCACTCATAGTATTTTAAAATCATTTGACAAATTAAACACATTTAAAAACTAAGAAAGTCTTACTAGTGGAACAAACTTTTTTTTTTTTTTTTTTTTGGTTGGGCTTGCCTGTGTTTGTAATCCTGTGGAAGTAAATCAGTAGATCACTATGAAGACTTCTTTTTAAATATTATTTTGCTTCATAAGAAGCCTCAGCTTACAAATGCCAAACTAACCAACGCATGTTACATTAGTCATTTCAGAAGGAGCCCAGCCAAACACACGTATTAGTGAGGAGTCTTTCTCCCTTACCGTAGGAGGCATAATCTCACGTGGATTCAAAATCCTATCAAATGCCTCTGTATTCAGCACTTAATCTACCATAGTCATTCTCAAGGACTTTTCTGATTACTGATACTCCTTCCTAGAGAGGAGAACTAATGCCCGAGAAGGGCTTGTAAACATCTGTCCGTGCTAGTGATGCCTCTGTGGAAGCGCTTCTACTTCACCCAACTGGGCAGGATCCAGTTAAAGTTTTAGTATTTAACACACAGTTCTGTTCAAGTTAAGGCCCTGTTGTGGTCTACTTGCCCGCTACTGTCCCTTCTGTACTGTACAGAAACAACTGACCTGTAGAGGTTAGTCTGATAAGCAACATGCAAGGAGTTATAAATAAAGATCCTTACACTTTTCCAGCTATCAGCATAAATATTACTGGTCTGGTAATTATCAAGTATCTCTTCTTGTTTGCACTCCCCATTTACCCAAACTGACTCCTTGATATCCTTGAGACCAAAGCATGAAGAATTTAGTGAAGTTTTGGGGGAAAAAACACTACTAGGCCAGCAGCCCCAAAGCAGAAAACTTGAAGCTTAGTGGGAGACTGGAGCAAGTACCAACTCAAAGACTTTTCCTACAGGAGACTATACACCTCTCCAGAATAGTTTGGGGGTTTTGTTTTTGTTTATGTTTCTTTTTGGAGGGACTTGTCTCACCCACTAAATTCACAGCTGTAGTAATCTCACCAGGGAGATGCCCCCCAATTCATTTCTACCCAAATTTCCTTTTTCTTCCCATTTCTAACAATGGCACTGAGATGGCTGATGATATCCAGCAGTTCCTTTCTACTTATTCTGCCCTCAGTACCAGCTGCACAATCTCTCCTCTTCCCATGCTGACCCCTGACTTCTCACTGAAACAACTCAAAAAAATGAACTCAAGGGGAAAGGAAGAAAAAACAAACAAGCAAGAACAGCAACCCTCCCCAAGCCCCACAGGCCTCCTAATCTTAACCTCTTGCTCTGTCTACTGCTGTCAGCATCATCCTGGCTCTCTAGCTCCAGTGAGTATCCAAGGCCCTTCAAGAAGCCAATCTGGTTCTCTGTGCCAGTGGCTAGCTACTCATGGTGGCCACAATCATTCTCCGGGAGAGGAAGCAGGACCTCTCCTTTCAGCAGAGGCCAAGTGGTCCATCAACTTTTATCTGTAACCTGCTATTTTGGGGATCAAGGCAACGGAGCATGGAAAACACCTTCAACTAAAAAAGTTGTATCAGAGAATCATAGAATGTTGAAGGTTGGAAGGGACCTCAGAGGTCATCGAGTCCAACCCCCCTGCTCACACAGGGTCACCTAGAGCACGTGGCACAGGGCTGCATCCAAGCGGGTTTTAAAGATCTCCAAGAAGAAGTATGTATAAGACATACAATTATAGTCTGGAATTGACAATCCAGTCCCATACTTTTGGCACAAATATATCAAAATCCAGCCTGTTTTGGGATTTCTTTATGGAAATGCTATGACATAAACTAACCATTAGATGTCACCTTTGTCCAGAATACTTACGAACATGTAGTCCATGATTTCAGAGCTGTTAAACAGTTCTCCATTGATGATCAATATAAGAACTTGCAGAATAGAAGCCTCAGTACTCCAAATTTTATAATACACATTTTATGTTGGACAGAGCTATCAATATATTCTGTTTCTGCAAAACTGTTAATGAGTCTCAAAAATCCTTCAGTGGATTAATTCAGTTACTCCTTCACAAACAAAGCTTTATACCAAGTTACTAAGCTAGTCAAGAGCATAGACAAATAGCTATACAAATAGCTAGACAAATCAGTATGTTTTCTTATCAAGACATTGAACATAACAGGCTAGAATACTCACTTATTTTTATTCCTTTTTCCCTCCACTCTTGGACATGGATTTTCTTAGAATCAGAGAGGTCCTTTTCACAATGGAGTTTATGGACAAGCCACTCAGAATACCTTTATTATTTGTTCTCACCTGCAGCAGAGCATCTATAATTTTCTCCCTATGCAAATAAGGAGATGTAAAATGTAAACGTAAATTAATGGTTACATCACAGTATCTGCAATACATTCAGCTCAACGGAGCTACCATGGTTAACAAATCCATTATAATAAACCAGGGAAAAACTAAAACATGAACACTCTTACCTACTAGTCTCCGGATGAATTTCTTGAAGTTTCTTCATTAACTTGGTAAAGCTGCTCAAGTTCAATGTATTAGGAGGAATAAACGTATCAAGTGAATCAGAGAAGTAAAGGGCAGATGTTTTCTGCATAGAATTCTCTTCAGTATCCTAGAAATGCATCAGAATACTCACAAAGTGAATGGGTTAAATATTGTGCAGAAAAAATGGCATACCCTTGCTACTTGTAAAGGTTGCTGCTATGGAAAATGAAAAGAATGGACATAAATATAGCCTAAGATTGATACTAAGTGGTTGTGCAAAGACCGATTATATTTTTAGTTCTATAAACTAGAAATAGAACAACTACATATGTTTGTCACTGGCATTAACACAAGTCAGAATATATCTACTATTCAGATGATATAACATAGCAGGAATGACAGCATTAATCTATCTAAACTGTATTTCCTAGAGAACCAGAACTTTAAAGTTAAAAACAAGTAATCCATATAGCATATTAGAACATCTATTTTTAATTTTGCCTCATCTGTCAAGAGCAAAGCTAAGTGATTATTTATATAAAAAAACTCTTTAAGATTGTACCTAAACATGAGTTTCCCCTTCAACATCTCAGCATCTTTCTGATATGAAATCATAAGTCATTCACATAGAAGCAAACATTAAAAGTGAAAGAAAAGGCAAGGAGGAAAATCCAGTATAAATGACTGGCTTACAATTTAGGAGAGAATATAACCTGATTCAGGAGTAAAGGAGCGATGCCCTCATTCTTCTGCATCATGCCAAAAATCCACACCTGCCCCTTAACATGCTTTGCTAACCTAACACCATTCCAAAATACATAAAATGCAACATCTTAAGGAGGAAGTAGCTGCTTCAAGTTTTAAGGCTCTTAATCTGCTACATAAGGGAACCTTAGAAACAATCACTTACCTTTTGATTTACTCCAGCCAAAGACTGTTCTGAGCCTTCAGCAGATGATTTCACATCCAGGTGCTTCGTTTTTGAAGAGGCTGGGGTACAGTGAGTAATTTCTGAAGAAGCTGTGGGAAGCAGCAGCACCTTCTCAGGAGCAGAGGTGGCAGCTGATGCTTTCACAGAATTGGAAGCCAAGGGGAATGTTTTATCTTGACCACTATTTTGAGTGTTAATGGATTGGATTTCATACCAAAACTTAGTCAAAAGGCTCTGAAAAACTGAAGCTCTGTTCCCCGATGCATTTTTTACAAGTTCAACGCTTACTGTCTTTCCTTTTATTTCTTTCCCATTCATTTCTTCTACAGCTAACTTGGCTTTATTAGCATCATTAAAGCAAAGAAATGCATATCTAAAATGCAAAATAAAAGAAATTTTAGGTAAAACATTTTAAATTATTATACAGTGTTGGTAAGACTGTTGATACTATCAACAGGATCACATTGTGGCTCTCAACTTTTGAATCTTTTGAATCTTAGCTAGTATTTTTCAATTAAACTTCATCAGAATATTTCAGATTGCCTAACCTGAATAAAGTACCAGTTGCCTGAAATTACAAATCTGCATCAAATTAACTCTTATCTACGTGAAATGCAAAATAAAAACACACTAATGGACAACTCCCTCCTCTCCCAAATTCATTTATTTTGACAGAAAAAAAAAAGAAAAAAAAAGAAATGAAACATCTATTAATGTACCTGTAGTCAGCAGAATCCATATAGATAAGAATATTGTTAACTTGATATTTCTGGAAATATGATCTTAAATCGCCCTACAACAGATGAGCATATTTAGTTGTGAAATACAGCATAAAATAGTTCACAAGACAAATAAACATTATGACTACAACGGGAAGAGCAGGTGTACCTCTGACACTGAAGAACTTAATCCTCCAACAAGAACGAAAAAAACCTCACTGGTTCTCTCCATCATCTTCATTTCTGAAAATAAACATATGAGAACAAAGTATTACTGACTACTCCTATTTCAGCTGAAGTTGGCATCTTCTCCATAATTTTTTGACAAGTCGATAGAAAAATCTCCAAAAAGGCTAAATGAATGAATAGTATTTTTAACAGAAAAAAAAAAGTAGCACCATGAGATGTAGAACTGCTCAGTTTCTGTATTCTCTTCCCCATGTGTATTTTACCACGTCTGATAAAGAATCATCAGCTCCTTTTAGCTTTCTCTTCAATGTGAGTCTTTCAGAAATACAGTTGCATATAACTTGCTGGAAAATGTCTTTAAATATCTTTAAAATACTATCTAGAAAATCAGGTATTCAGGAATTTCAGAAGAGAAGGAGAATTACCAATATTTCTTCCACATGTGGTAGAGAAGGTCAACATTGTAACTATAATCAGAGAAGACCCTGGTTTGTACTAACGGGTGCCAACCCTGAAGCGGGATTAGGGTATCAAGACACCTCATCCTGGAGCACCCCCGCACTCTCAGATTTCAATGTACTTGGACTTCTCATCATGTCACCTGGGACCTGCATTTCAGAACACGTACCATTCATTCCTAACTCTTAGATAGAAGAAACAGAAAGGAGAGGACCAGAGAAAAGATTTCCAACTACACAACTGGTTATATGTTTACTTATTCTTTAGAAGGAAAACAAAATGTGCAAATAATAAACACCATTATTAGACATGCCAGCTTACAGCATTTGAACTCACCTCTTAGACTATCTGTGTCTTGTTTTTCTTCTTGTTTTTCATCAAATGTCGCTGAAAAATCCGTTGCTGGCAAGTTCTCTTTAGCATCAAACCAATATTCATTAATTTCTTCATTTTTTCTACACTCTTGACAGTTAAAAAAAAAAAAAAAATCAGCGTGTCTGAATTCAATCCATGGTAACCAGTATGAGTCAGTATTGAGTTTCTGCTCTCTAAGAAGGTTTCAGCTGTGCAGTTTGCAACTTCTCATTTCTGACTTAAGCCACATTAAATTTTTTCAATAAACCAGAATATGCGTCTGAGGTTAAATGAAGTGTTTCATCAGAGAAAGCACTCTAGAGCATCATATATATAAATATTTTATTCACAATTCCATTTTTAACAGCTTAGCTAATACGTAATACAGTATTTGGATCAGAAGCAGTCAGCTTACCATATTCTATATCCTCATCTTTATGGTAGTCTTCTAATGTCTTAGAAGTAGTAGAGTGTCTTGGCTGACTGCCACCAGCTGAACGTACCATCTGAGGATTATACTACAAATATGTTTAAGTTATCTTACACATCATTTTTCTATGTTTCAGAATATTAATCAATTAACAAGTACATTTTAAAACGTTAACCTATGCATCCTGTTCACAAACTCCCATTTATTTTATCTTGAAAGGTTAAAATTCTGGCCACACCAAATACATTTGCTATTACTGACAGATATCATCAGCTCGAATTATGAAGAATGTGATTGTATTTGCAATTACCTATCTAAAAGTAGACTATTCTTAACAAAATCAATGTCCAGGAAACTCAGTAAAGAAGTCCCTACCGCACTGACAGAAGTTTTCATCTCTTGCCGTTTTGATTCTTCAAAGTCTGTTTTTCTCCCACCTGAAGTGGAACTAAAAAAAATCCAAGACTTTAATACAAAATATGGCACCATAATCTTTAATTCTACAAGGATACCGACTCTTCTGTAGTATTCTTTTAAATATATCGTTACAGAAAAATTGGAAGAGCCCACAGTAACATACATTGTACATGCTTAATAAATCTTAGCCTGAAAAGAGAACTGGAATTTATATATTGTATTTTGTAATAGCATTGGTTGCAATCTGAAACTTAAAATGATGATATAGGTTTACATTACATGTTTTCCTATTATATTTAGATTTTTTTTATTTTGAAGACGGCTTTCACAGCTTAGAGAAGGTGTTAGAACTCTTAAGTAATGGAGGAGCAAAGCAAGCTGTAAATCGGAAATATTTGCAGTAAAGCCACTAAAATACAAATATAGCTCCACAGTTCACATATCAGAATGTTAGAGTGAGATTTCTTAAAAGTGGAATCACTGGGCGCAAAGTATCACGCCATTCTTTCAGCTCATCAATTTGAAGCAACAGCATACAGTCTGAAAAAACTCTCAAGTTGAACATTTTGAACGCCTGCACCACACATTTTTAAATAACATAAATCCAAACTACTTACTCATGAAAAAGATCCACTCCATATGCCTGTCCAAAAAGAAAACATTTCCTTTAAAATGCTGATTAATTTATATTAAAAACAAAAAACAAAACAAAAAAAAAATTAAAAATTACCTTGCCTGGTACATAAGAAGAAAAGAGTGTGAATAATCTTGTCTCAACTGATAGAGAGGGAAGTGCATTTAATGGTACGCCCATTTCTATTTTCTTTTTCATAGTCTCATAACTCTTTTTTAGCTCTTCCAAAACCAACAGGAGAGATGCATTTAATTCTGTGCCAGCAAAACCATTTTTAATACATCTGTTAAAATATGTGTAAGAGATCAACTTAGTAACACATGTCATTTACTTTACTACCTCCAGAGTTATTCAAACATTCTGCAGTGCTTAAAGACTTTTTTAAAATGGGTATCAATAACCCTGTTCGTATTGACAACTATTGCCTGCAGGTGTTGTCTTCTCTTTACCTGCACTCCTAATGCTTTGTGGGCTCAGCCATGAAGGTCATTCATGAACCGTATTAACAGCCCGATTCTTACAGCATTTGGAAGAGGCTTGAAACTCCCTTTCCCTCCTCCGTAGGACACAGCACTACTGCTTAGTCTATTTGAGCAACTGAACACTTTAAGAACAAAGAACTGTGCAAGCTTTGAAAGAATGGTAGCTCTCACTCCTACAGTGAATACAGTGCCCATGTATTCTTTGAAGACACAGTTCCTTTCACAGTCTCACCTGCTTTCTTAAACACTTCGCTAAACAAGTGCTATGGAGCAGACACTAAGATATTTTTCAAATCAGTTGATGTATGTTTTTAAGACTCTAAAGCACTATAGGAAACAATACTTGCTGCTTCTCACAAAGAGGTACCAACAGGAGACCTAATTAGTAAAGATCTGCCATTTTTCTCTGTTTTTAACTCTCCAAGTGATCCTCTAAGACACAGGGCAATGACTGAGCACAAAAGCTGGCCCCAGCATTCAGCCTCAGCTTTTGGTTCAGAAAGTTCGTTATCTCTCTGCTACCACCATTTCTGTCCTCTTCTTACTGATTCTGCACCATTTGTGTCTTTTCTCCTCATCTCCTCCCCAATTTGCTATCTCCATACCAACCTACTCCATGCCTGCATGGATTCTCTGCACTATTCCTTTTGTACCTTTTCTCCTGTACATTCTTGAAACAGCATGTCCATCTTAAAACTACATGATACAGAAAACTTAGGCTAAAATTGAGAGTTACAAGCTGCGTGAACATAGGCTGTTTATGTAACGTTCCTAACTACACACACTCTTATGAGCTAAGAATGTAGTAAACACTGCCTTTTACTCAAGTTATCAATTTAAAAGGACACTAAAGCACATACCTGTCAAAACCTTTTTCTTCCTCCAACATCAGTTTGTTAATCTCATAGCAGTGATGGCAACACATCTGATAATGCATGTTTAGAACCTGCAGCTCTGCTTGAATAGCTCTCCACAGTAATTTTCTGCAGTAGATCGAGTCCTTCACAGATTGTTTCTCAAGGTACAGGGGCCTTTAAAGTAATAATAATCTTGAAGCACGTAAATTGAATTAATTTATGTTAATTTGAAATAGTAGCTTTCCAGAAGTTATTTCTGATAAGTTTCAAGGGGGAAAAAAAAATCTCCTTTCTATCAGTCAGAAAGACTGAAGTGCTTTGCTATAGCCAGTGGAATACTTTTCACTTTACTGCTCCCGCTGTAAAAACATTTTCTTACACCCAGTCAAAAGTATGTCTGATATTCTGATGTATCTATTGCCTCCTGTGCTTTCACCATGCACCTCTGCAAAGGAGCTGCCTACACCTTCTCTATCACCCACCACGAGATAAAGTCTGCAGTTTGCTTCCCCATTTCCCCAGCGTCCCCTGCTCCAGGCTGAACAACCTCAGATCCCTCAGCCTTTCCGCAGCCATCACGCACTCCAGCTCTTCTGGCTGTCTCAGCACTCTCCACTAGCCTTTCTTCAGTTTACCAATTTTTCTTGCATTAGAAGGCCCAAGACTGGAGTTTTCTAGCTGCACCTCATGAACGCCAAACCCAGATAAACAGCCATTTCACTCAACCTGCGGGCTGCACTTTCGCCCATGCAGCCCATCACGTGGTTTCCCTTCCTGGATATACAGGCATGCTGCTGAATTACACCCAACTTTCTGTTCAGCAGGACACCAAGGCCCTTTTCTGCAAATCTGCTTTTTGGTCAGCAGGCCCCTTCCACCCTCCCCTGTTTGTGGCACAGAGTCACTGCCCTCCTGCTGCAAGGCTGCATTTGTCTTTGCCAAACTTCATGAGGTCTCTAGCAGCTCATTCTTCTAGTTTGCCCAGGTCTTCTGAACGCAGCCCTACCCATCAGCATGTGAGCTGCTCCCCAACCATCTTCTGTATCACTTTTGCCAAGTAGCACACAGCTTTTCAGCCATGAAGAATGTAAAAGTCTTATCAAGTATCTGCCATTCTGAAACAAGAACAATTTCTGACTCACCTGGCAGCGCTACCCGGCTCCTTTTGTGATTCCCATGGATCCTACATAGAATCATTAGACACAAATCAACATTTGTACAAACATTCCAAGCAACATGGAGGCAGGGGAAAGCTATATACATGAAAATAACTATTTTTAAAAGAAGTTACCTGAATTTGTGAAGTCTCAGCTGTCGCAGTATTGCCCTCTAAATGTTTTCCCAATACGTCAGCAAACTGTGGCCAAGTTTCTTCTCTACTATCAGACACCCAAGACCAGTCAGTATTGCAAGCAACATCTGCACAGATTTCACGGCGCCATTCCACGGGTCTGGATTTGTTCATCATTGTTATACCTGTATTAACAGCCCTAGAGACCAGACAAGCCTGGGCACTGGTAGCTCTGCTGGTTGTAAAGCAAGCTCTGAAATCAGAACTTGCATCAACAGTCTGGTTAATGGTAACTTTGCAGTCACTGGTAGCACTCTCCAAGTTTGCACACCTCTCCAGTTCTGGGTTCAGATACCTCACGTTGCCACTAGGTATGTCCACAACTTCCAGGTCAAACGAGGGATTTTCTCTAGCATTAATTTCAAGGACTGGACACTGGGTTTCGGCACCCTGCCAAGCACATCTGACACAGCTGGTACCTACAGCACATGTGATGGATTCATCACATCTGTGAGGATTAGTTTCACCTGCACTTCTGCAAAGTTGAGTGGCTACTGCAGGGAATCCTTCCTGCTTCACGGCGATGCTTTGAACACGTATATCCTTTTTTTCCACCGTCTTTTCATTTATAGCCATTCTGGTCAACTGTGTGCCAACAACTGAAGAACTGTCTTTTACCTCTTCATTTTCTAAAATATCATTTACAGACACATTTGGATAAGACCTTTCTCTACTCCCACAAGTACGACTTTCAAGTGTATTTTCAGAAAGAACACTATGATACTCTGTTTGCTCTTCTTCACAATCACAACTCAGGTCTTTGCAAACTGGCAGGGACAGACAGTCCTGAAGCTCTTGGGGAAGGTCTGACACAGCTGCTCCTATGCAGTATTTACAGGTAGAACAACCTTCCAGCATGTTAACAAGATCGTGCTCCTTTCTGGCACCACTGCCTGGAACTTCATGAACCGTATCTAACAACTGTGAAGCTTTGATTCCTACAGTTTTCATTGGCTTACAGAACTCACTTGAGCTATTCCTCTCATAATACTCTTGCTCGTCACCACTGACATACTCCAGCTGTGAATCTTCACTCAAATCACCTTGTCTGTAATCATCACCAGCCCTGTAAATAAAATGCATATCGTTGCACGCCCCTCCTGGCATCCCAGCTTCTTTCTCCCTTTTACATCCACATGCACAGCAAACTGTTGCTCTCTCTTCATTACACATTTCAAGATCTGCATCTAAAGATGAAGCTAAATAAGGTAAACTTCCCTCTGACAACTGTAATTCTGAGACATTTATAGAACATGCCTGGCCAAAACCAGAGCAGTTAACTTCTGCTGCAAGGTCTGTGATGACGGTGTGCTCAACTTTCTCAGAATAGGAGAGAAGATGGGAGGTCTGAATGAAGAGCTCCGTTTTGTTTTCAATGCCGACGTTCTTTCCCAGTTCCATGGTGTAAATACTTATGTATTCCTCAAAAGTAGTCCACACAAAAAACTTACCGCAACTTCACAGTAACCTCTGAAAGTCATCTGCTGGCCTTTCTCATCCTTTTTTTTTTTTCTCCTCCTCACCTTAATAGAAATATGAGAAGTTTAAGTTACTCTGTCATGCAGAGACATAGCACTGTCTAAAAATACTTTCTGATTAATTATCTTTAAGTATCTAAATTACTGTATTCTACTTCAGAAGCTAGAAACTACATGGAATGTTATCAAAGTGTAAGAGCCCAAGTACGCCTCTTAAAAGGTGACATTTTCATGATTAATCTTAATTAATAAAGGTGTCCTCAGAGACCAACCAATTTTGTTTTCTTAAAGTCCTGGGAAAAGTTTCCAATCTCTTAACAATAGAGTATTTCTTGGCTGAATCATGAAAATCACAGCTGACAGACGGCAGTGTTTTTATGTTTTAGGCCTCTCTTAGATAGAGCGAGCGAGAGAAAAGCATATTCTTCATATTTAGGAGATTCTTCATATTCGGGACATACAGGAATATATGCTTATCTAGCACGGAACTTGAGGAAACCTAAGAATCTTTACAACTGGCAAGTGTCAGACACTGACGAAAATAGGAAATTGATTTCATGCATCAGAGAACTTCTTTCCATGGCAAAAGAAAGCTGACAGCCCATCAAAACAGCCCTAGTTCTTTGCTCTAGACCTACAACACAGACAGTTTAATGGCTTATACCAACCACAAATGAAAAGCAGAAAGCATACAGGGATGGCACATTATCTTATTCCTTATAATTCCTTATGGCTGCCTGTTCCTTGTCTTCCAAAGAGTTTACAGTAAAGAAAAGGGTATAAAAAGAGTTGTTAGGCATATTTCTCTCAATTGGGCACTTTTTCAGGCTTTTTAAATGAAGTTTAAAAACTTTAAATTAGTGTAACTGGTCTCTAACAATCTCCTATCAACATTATAAATTTTGGAGGACTGAAAAGAGCTGACTAGAATAACACAGCCTGAAGAAGGGGAAAAAAAACCAAACCATCCTCAGATTTACATCAACATACGCTCCTCTACTAAAAGCCATCTGAGAAAAGCCATGAATGGAAGTAATGAAACTTAACGAAAGTGATTTACATCATTTGATAAAGCTACTAAGAGAAGCCTGAGGCTCCTTCCCCCCCACCCCAAAAAAGCTCTATCACCATTTCTTTGCTCATATGCTTCTGCAAAGCAATTTATTTGTTGCAAAAAACTTACCTCCCTTACAACAGTAACTTTACCTAATTGGGGCAACCAGAGTTTTGAGTAAACTACGATAATAATCTTACTGCAATGGTGCCAAAACATACTCTTGCACACGTGGATTACAGGATGTTGTTGTATATGATTTTTGTCGCTTTATCCTTAAGGCCAGATTAAAGAACAAGTAAAGTAGCTTTATATGAGCATTATACGTACGTAAGGCCACAGCCCGCGCGTCCCGCCAGCAGCACGCACAGGTCCGAAGAACGACGCCTGCGCTAGAGCGGCTTCCAGCCCGGAGGGAAGGGCGGAGGACGGGGGCAAGGAAGGCAGCGCAGCGCCCTGCTGGCGGCCGGGCACGAGCGGGCGCCCTCCCGAGCCGCCGCTCGCACCTCAGCAACGCGGCCCCAACGGCCGCGCCCAACGGCCGCCAACCGCCGCCTGCTGCCCATTGGCCGCGCGGGGAGCCGCGGAGCGCGTGATTGGCCAGCGCGGGCGCCCGCGCGCGGGCACGCGGCGGCCGTTAGGGCGCGGGGGCCGCGGCGGGCGCCTCGTGCCCCGCAGTGGGAGGGCACCCCTGGCACCCGCCGGTTCTCGCTAACGCGTTACCGGCGTCTCGCTGTTTCTGTCAAGCCTGGCACTCCGAACACGTCTCCAAAAATCGCACTCCCCTCAGAACAACCTGCCTTTTAGCCCAAGTGCAGCCAGCCTTTAACAAAGGGTTACGGTTTTACCTTTTACTCGCATGTGTCTCCACAGTAATACATTAAAAAGGCAAATAAGTCCATTTCACCAGTATCACCCCAAACCCAGCCTTTTCCCCAATAACAGTGTCACGACAGACCACGCTGTAAAAACCACCCAAACAAGCAACACTTTTATTGGCGAGTTCTGCTCATGGATTTCCAGTTCCACACTCGCGTCTCCACAGCTCCTAGCAGATTTGTTTCTTTTTAGAAACATTTATTAAAAAAAAAGAAAAACCATTTTGGGTAACATTCCACTTCCAAAACAATAAAGTTATTTAACATTTGAAAGTAAACCAAAGGCTGGCCATTTTAAATACAAACTGTAGGAGAACTCAACGCTGGCTCCGTGCAGAGCTTCAGAGGTTCTCCCCTATGTAGTTCAATTAAAAGGACTGGGGCATGTGCTATTAATTACCTTTCAAAGCCCTGGTGTTGTACATTCTTCACAGGAAAAGATAAAACAGTTTGCATTACGCCAAACGGTACCTTTTCTTCCATTATTCTAACACTAAGTTATACTGAAAGTCAGGGGGAAACGTGGCTTAAGAATTCAGCTAATTTATCATCACACACGAAAGATTTCTACCAAAGAGCATATCCAGGTTGAAATACACATTTCGTTTTTGTCATGAGGTTAATGCTTATGGGGTGCAAGATGCAAGCTACTTAAAACAAATAAACACATCACTTCTTGGTGAGCAAAGGGTTTTTTTTTTTAAGCTTTTTGGACCAACAATTAATGTTGCCTTTTTTTTTTTTTTTTTTTTTTTTTTTTTCTTCTCCTGACTCTAGCCAGGAGAGTTTACACCACTACCACAAATAAAAAGATGCCCAGTGGCAATCACACACCTTATTAGTTAATAAGATGTTGCGCTGAGCATGTTTATTTTCATTTTTAAAAACTCTTAATTCATTTTGTAGGCCCCAAAGGCTTTGTACACCAGAAAATACACAAGTCAATCACAGAAAATTGGAAATTGGTATCCACAACTATTTTGAGGTATTCCACAAGAACCCTGGCTCTACACCTGAATGTTCCTCTCAAAAGAAAAAAAAAAAAAAAAAACCCAAACCCTACCTAGCGTGGAAGTTTCATCTAAAGAATTCCTTTAATCCCCATGTCCCACTACATTTGATCAACAAGAACGTACTTATTCCCCAGGGTCATGAAAAACATCTTCATCTTTTTCCCTTAATATTAATTTCAGTACTTCACTCTTAAGTATCAGGGTGCATTTAGAAGAGATGAAAAGCAAGGTATTTTCTTCTAGCCAAACCAGAGAAACACATTCAGTTACTGTTTTTGGTTCCCTGTTCACTTAACTTGTGGAGGTGCTCGAAGAAGAGATCAGCAATCCCCTCATTTTGAAAATAGCAGCGTTTTAGAACCTAACCTCTGATCTATGAGGAAGAGGCCAGGGAAAGATCTGGACCAGAATGCCCGAAGACCAGCTAAAGAAGAAACGCTCTCCTCAGTCTGGATTTGGTTTCATAGTCTTCTATCTACTGAGGCAGCAAACATCAACAGAAGATTACTCCTGACATACAGGATATGATGTTTTACAGTGTGAACAGAGTCTTAAGGGACTGGTTATCTACAATTCTAGCAAGCTTGCTGCTAGGGCTGGAGGGAAAGAGAGGACTTCCTTCTTCTTCTCATAACTGCTATTTTTGAGTAGTACATTCAGAATCATTTCCTATAAACCAGAGCTGTAGTGCTAATTGTGTATTAATAGCTCAACTGCTTGTAATGCTTCAGTTGGTTGCGTTCTTTTTCATGAAAAGTGGAAAACCTTTTCAAGGACTTTAAACCAAAATTATTTGTTATATTTGCATTTGTAGAAAAAAACATAGGTAGCAATATTTTCTAAAGTGCTTCTTTACATATCAGTTACCTTTTTAACTGCGTTTTGTAGAGGCATTGTTTCCTCACACTCCATGGACTAGTAGATAGTTTCTGATGTAAAAAACCCAGTATGCGCTGTGTTTAAACCAACAGCACTTGCTTTGACAAATGCAGTGAAGTGATGGAAGTGCAAAATCCACCATTTTTAAAACATGGCCTTCTGCTGGTTTATTACTGCAACTTTACATCCTTTAAAAGCAGTTTGCTTCAATTCCAAGAACAGGGATTAAATAATACAAATAAAACATGTAATTTAATGGAGCTATTGCCTATTTACCCTGAAATAAAATAGTCTTATGATTGAACTGGTGCAAAAATCCCTCCAAACACCTTTGTTTTATTGGCAAAGTCATTTAAGGTCACTTTTGCTTCCAAGACCATCTTCTTCCACGGTTTCCACTGAAGGAGTTTTGCTTTGTAATGGCTTGTGGTTCCACAGTGATTTGTAAATGAAAAGCCTAATATGAATAACTCTACTGTAGTCACTAAACTGCAGGTACTGTCATGAGAAAGTCCAAAACGTAGTTTTTTTTTTAATTCCTAATTCTCAGCAAGACACAAAATTCCAGTCTAGTTAAAACGTATTCTTTGAATGCCGTTTTAAACGGCAGTAAAAGGCTGCTGTGCCTTCGGGATGGAGAACTCACACGACGCCCCTTCCGTGCTCGGACGCGGGTATCGTGCTTCAAATGCACCCAAAGCACCGCCTAGAAGAGCCCCTGCAGGCACAGCCGTTTGGATCAGCTACTCCTATGGATGCAGCGCAGGTTTGGATCTGCAAAGAGGGAACCCCGGCTGGGTGGCACGAACGTGGGGCTCGTCTGTGCTCGGAAGGCATGACACGAAGCGGCCCAGACAGCGAAAGGCAGAAGCAGCATCTGCGACGGTGTTCTCGTTGCGTCAAGTAGTAGTTCCCAGGGAAAGGCGGCGCTTATTGCTGAGACAGTAACGCGCTCCGGTTGGCCTTCATCTTCTCCAAGCGTTTTACTAGGTGGCCGTTGCTCACTTCGAGCTCTTCAGTTTTATCCAAGGCTGAACGAAGCTGGAGGAGGAAAGCAGGAAAAAAAGCAGTAATTTCTGAAGCGGTTTTGCTTTCCAAAGATAAAGCAGTACTTTCGTTTATCAAAACTAAATCTATCAGAT